ATACTCACTCTGACTGTCTAATTCGTGGTTCCAGGGCACCACAGTAACCTCAGCCCCAAGCTGGCAGAGACATCTGATCTGATTATACTTGAGGCCGCAGTCCAAGGCACAGATCCGAGGGGCACCCCCTGCATTGAATACCCGTGGGGTCTGAGGAAGGAAGAGCAACAGTTGGCAGCCGTGATCAGCAAGCATAGGTGTACCCACACCAAATCCCATCTTTGAAGGCCTTGAGCTTCCCCCAATTTGGGCATTTCCTCTGTACCTTAATAGAAACCTCTGGTGCCAGGGGCCTGGCATTGGGGTCCACGAACGGCAGGGTTGAAGGCTCTGTCCCACTCTGGACCAGCTTCCCCAAAAGAGACCCTTGCTCCCGCAACTTTTTAGTCAGCTCCCGAGTGTCTACTCCTGTCAAAACAGCACAGCCTCAGATGACAGTCCCCAACTCAGTCATCAGTGAGGGGAGACATCCAGGAACGCTCCTGCTCCACAGCCCTGAGTCAAATACAACTGTTCTATGGGCATCAGACCATGCTGATGGCAGGACATAGCCATGAAGTAATCTTGCTCAAAATATCACATCCAAATTGAACCACGATCTGGATAGATCTAATTATTGGAAACAACTCCTAGAGGAAAACGACCATGCTAAATGACACTACAGGAACAGAAACATAAAGTCGGGCCAAGTGGCACACAACTGTAGTGTTGGCCCTTGAGGAGTGGCAGGGCCAAGCGTTCACGGTCATCTTGGTCAAGTCACATCGTGAGTTTGAGACAAGCCTGGACTACATGATACCATGTCTCAAAAACCCAAGCCAACAATGTCCCTACTTTGGTATGGGGGGGGGGAAGGAGACCACTGGATTAATTCTCTTAAGGAGAAACCGTGTTCTCAAGAAATAGTTACGAGCCGGGGGGGTGGTAGCGCATGCCTTTAATCCCAGCACTCAGGAGGCAGAGGCAGGCGGATCTCTGTGAGTTCGAGACCAGCCTGGTCTACCGAGCGAGTTCCAGGATAGGCTCCAAAACAATACAGAGAAACCCTGTCTCGAAAAAAAAAAAAGAAAGTTACGGGACCTACAGACTGCGTTTTATACACATAGTAACAGATGTGCATTGATGCTAACACAGCAGGGAGCATGGCTGCTTTTCAGACATGCATTACCTAAGTGCAACGTAACCACGTAAAACTCTGCTGAAAGTCAGACTTAAATTAGGCAAGCCAGGAACCGGGTTTGCTTTCTTTACAATTTTTCCTCCTAAGCAATGGTTCAGATTCTTCTTTAATCTAAACCTTGCCCATTTTTCGAGACTCCGTTTCCTCCCATCTCGGCACACTGTACTTTACCCAGACATCCTGGTGCTTGCTGTCATACCTTGCAGGCCGGGGATGCCATGCTGCTGCAGCCACTCATGCAGGGTGCAGGTGGCACTCCAGTGGCTGGGCGTGGGACAGCATTCTCCCACCACCAGTCCTGCCACGTGGATCTCCGAGGATTCAAACCACTACAGATGGAGAGAGGGGACAGAGAGGAATTCAAGGACAACTGCTCTCTTCGGCACGTCCCTCCATGGTCTGGCCACTAGCTCTCTGCTCAACCCTATACGACAGCCTGTCATCCCTTCAAAACACCAAACCCTCCCTGCTTCCACAGGCAACCCTCTTTCAGTAACTCTGCACTATCCCATAAGAAACCCTGAACATGGGCCATGAGTGCCCAAGAGAACAGAAAATGGCACTTTCCTTTGTCCAAAAGCGAGCTTACAAGTCTTCTCAGTGAGCACCCCAACTCTTTTTTTTTTCCTTCTTTTTTTTTTTTTTGGTTTTTCGAGACAGAGTTTATCTGTAGCTTTGGAGGCTGTCCTGGAACTCACTTTGTAGACCAGGCTGGCCTCGAACTCACAGAGATCCGCCTGCCTCTGCCTCCCGAGTGCTGGGATTAAAGGCGTGCGCCACCAACGCCCGGCTTGAGCACCCCAACTCTTACATATATCCACTGTAGTTATAAGTTACTTCCTTCAGAGACAGAACCTTTCTCCACTTCTTCCTTCCATTTCAATGTGTCAGGAATTTGTACTTGCAGCTGACACAGACTAAACCCTTAAGCACCTACTGAGTGCTCACTGGTGCAGGTTTGTTACAGAGGAAAATGCAGTGGGCAAGAAAGGCAAGGTCACCAGGTGGTGGTGGCACTCGGGAGAAAGAGGCGGCGGATCTCTGTGAGTTGAAGGCCAGCCGGGTCTACACAGTGAGTTCCTGGACAGCCAAGGCTACACAGAGAAACCCTATCTCTAAATAAATAAATAAAGCAAGCTTGCCAGGTGTGGTGGTGCATGCCTTTCATTTGATCACTGAGATCACTAAATTGGATAAATTGGAGGCCAGCCTGGTCTACAGAGCGAGTTCCAGGACAGCCTCCAAAGCCACAGAGAAACCCTGTCTTGAAAAACCAAAAAAAAAAAAAAAAAAAAAAAAAAAAAAGAGAGAAGACTCCAGGGAGAGAGGGGTATGAATTAGCAAGATCTTATCTCGAAAACAGGTCAAGTAAAAAGATTAAGTTATATTTAAAGGCAAAATAACTGGCATTTGCAATCACAGTACTTGAGGCTAGTGTGGGCTACACAAGAGAGATACCGGCTTTAAAAAAAGACAATAATGGGGCTGGAGAGATGGCTCAGAGGTTAAGAGCACTGGCTGCTCTTCCAGGGGTCCTGAGTTCAATTCCCAGCAACCACATGGTGGCTCACAACCATCTACAATTCAATCTGGTGCCCTCTCCTGGAATGGAGGCAGAACACTGTATATGTAGTAAATAAATAAATCTTAAAAAAAAAAGACAATAATGATGATGATGATGTACTTGCTGCAGCTGTAATTTCCCAGAATAACAAACAATTAGTGTATCTTTAAGAGGCAGGCTTCAAAACTAAGAATTAGCCAAGGTGGTGGCATACATCTTTAATACCATCACTCAGGAGGCAGAGGCAGGAGGATCCCTGAGTTCATAGTCAGCCTGGTATAGAGCATCCTGTCTCAAAAAAAAAAAAAAAAAAAAAAAAAAAAAAAAGGAGGGGGGAATTGAAGGCTTGGGTATACCGTCAAATGTCACAACTCGGGAGGCAGAGGCAGGTAGATCTCTGGGAGTACCAGGCCAGCAGCTAGGGTTCCAAAGGGAGACTTCTGTAAGACTGGAGTCAGGGCTTAAGCAAGTTTTGTGAAATATTGCATTTAGTCTATGGTAACTTCTATTATTACCTTAATGGTTGTGTTAATACTTACACTTAACTCTCAAAGGCAACTTAGTTTCCAGATTTCACAGAATGAATGGGGGGGGAGGGGCTCGCTGTATGAGAAAATTTGAGTTTTTTAGCTAGAGGTAAACACTATTGAGAGAGCAGGACGTTGGTGGCTCATGCCTTTAATCCCAGCACTCGACGAGAGGCAGAGGCAGGTGGATCTCTGTGAGTTCGAGGCCGGGCTAGACCTACAGCCTCCAAAGCAATACAGAGAAACCCTGTCTCATAAAAACAAAAACAAACAAAAACAAAAACAAAAAAACACTATTGAGAAGCAGAAAAGGAAACAATACCAAGGAGTCCGGATGGTGATCACTGTCACTCGTATGTAGATGAAAATGGTGACCACTGGTACTAGAGAGGTACCATCCATGTTTCCAGTTTCTCCTAGGTACGTAGCCTAAAGCTGTGGTTCTCAACCCGGGGGTCACAACCCCCAAACCAGTCACCATTTTTACAGGTGTCACCTATGACCATCGTAAACACCAGATATTTCTATTACGATTCATAACGGCATCAAAGTTACAGTTATGAGGTAGCAATGAAAACAATTTTGTGGTTGGAGGGTCACCACAACATGAGGAACTGTGTTAAAGGGAATTAGGAGGGCTAAGTACCTAAAGGATTTTGTTTGCTACTAAAAAAAAATCTTTGTGGTCCTTAGGAAATAACTAGAAATTTCAACCCTTGTAATTTTGATAACTACTCCCACAAGCCCTTTGCCATTTCCTGTGCACCGCACCTTTAGCTCACACAGGACTCTCAAAAGAGGGTACCACCTCCTCGGTGGTCTCCAGCTCTCTGCCTTTCGAGGTACCTGAGAGCCCTGTAACTGCGGTCGCCTTAGTGCTTTGGACTGTTTTCCTCTAGGATGTCTAGCAGAGAGCCAGCCACTTCACCGTTAACTTCTGACGTGAGAAGGGATGTAGAGAAAGCACTGGGTGTGACTACCTTGCTCAGGCCGAACTCGTCCTCTTCATCTGAGGGAATGCCGTAGTTGCCGATGAGAGGGTACGTGAGCACCAGGATCTGAGCTTTGTAGGAAGGGTCAGTGAGGGCCTCTGGGTAGCCGACCATGCCGGTCTGAAACACTGAAGAAAGAGGCAGGGCTGAGATCTGGCAAGGGCAGCCTTCGGAACACTGCCCCGAGCGCTGCAGATCCCGGAGGAGGTGACTGCTTCGGTCGTGAGCGGTGAGAGGGAGCTGGAGCCACCGAATCGGAGAGAGGGGTGTGCAGGAGGGGTGGACAGGTTAGGCAGCCCGCTCGGGCTTGCTTACCCACTTCCCCAGCAGTCGACACAGCGGCCCCAAAGGGCCGGCCCTGCAGCACCGACCCGTCCTCCAACACCAGAGCCGCCATGGGGTCGGAGCTGAGACGAGGCGAGCACCGAGAAGCGGGAGGCGCGGCGAGCCCCACTGGAACCAAGCGAACACCGCGCGCCGAAGTTGGTCCACGTGGCTCGCTGAGCGGGGCGCTGGAGAGCAGGCGGGCGCGGTAAGCGGCAGCCCTAATCGTACTGAGCTGGAGCACGACTGCGACGGCGCAGGCAGCCGGCAGCGTGAGGGGCGGGGCCGGGCACGTAAGGGGCGGGACCATGGGTGGGTCCACAGCATCACACCAAGCAAAACCTGGAGACCCGAGAAACCCGACCGTCCCAAACCAGCCCCTCAAGCAAGGAACACGCAAAGGTAGGGCACTATTTCCTAAAACAATGGAAAAAAAGTGTTTATTGTAGTCAATAATACATGCAAGTACTCGTCCGCTCCTGAACCGAGTGTCCACCACCCCGAAGTGGTAAAATTTGACACCTTCCTTCATTATCAATGGCCGCTTCAGCCTTGAGCAGGATCCGCTGGCTGGCGAGTAATGTTTGTCATGATCAGAGCGATCTCGGGTGAGCAAGAAGCCCTGTGAGGTTCATGAAGCCTTGGCCTTTCGGCGCTGAGTTCCCCAAAGTAGAATGGAGATGGCTAGCGTGGTGGACCCCAGAATCCCAAAGAACATAAGCAGCGAAAAGGAGCCCTGTGATTAGCAAACAAACAAACAAGTCACAGCAGAACACAGGGTCTCTCTGACCTACTTCTTTCTTAGCCACGCAGCCCCTCCTCCAGGCACTTCCCTTGAAGTTGCCTACCAGCAACTAGCGTCAGCTCCTTGTATCTTCCTGGGAGGTTCTTGCCAAATGCAAGAACCTTTAGTTGTGAAAGGCCCAGTTCCTTACCTGCCTCATACACTTGTATCCGTGGAAACCATCCGCACAAACGCACTGCAAAAGACCAGGGCCTTCCGGTGCACAAGAGCCATTCTCAGGACACATTTCTGGGAGCCAGAGGAAAACTAGAGTCACTACAGTCTAAGGCCATGGGACACTGAAGAGCCAATCTCCTCTCAGCTCAGAAGTATGGTACTTGGATGGGAGGACATCACCGGATCTCATTAAGTACTTTTCTCAAATATTCAAATATCTGCTTAGATTCTCTTACATTTCTAGGTCAAAAGTAGAGGGAAAAGCTGGGCATGGTGGCATATGCCTAAATCCCAGCATTTGGGAGGCAGGGGCAGGCAGATCTCTGTGAGTTGAAGTCCAGCCTGGTGTACACAACAAGTTCCAGATCAGCTAGGAATACAGACTCTGCTTCAGAAAATAAAAACAAAAACAAACAAAAAATAAAAGAAAGATCATAATAATCAGAATATAACACTAACAATAATAATTAAAACCTTGGACTAGAGAGATGGATCAGAGGTTAAGATCTCTTCCAGAGATCTGGTGTTCAATTCCCAGCAGCCACATGGTGGCTCACAACCATTTATAATGAGATCTAGTGCCCTCTTCTGGCGTGTAGGTGTACATGCAGACAAAACCCTATACATGATAAGTAAATTTTTTTTTAAGCTGAGAAATCTTTTTTTTTAAGATTTTATTTATTTATTATTATGACTACAACATCTTGCTTCATGTATGTCTGCACACCAGGAGAGGGCACCAGATCTCATTATGGATGGTTGTGAGCCACCATGTGGTTGCTGGGAATTGAACTCAGGACCTCTGGAAGAACAGTCAGTGCTTTTAACCTCTGAGCCATCTCTCCAGCCCAATAAGTAAATATTTTTAAAAAACAAATTAGCTGGGGGCTGGAGAGATGGCTCAGAGGTTAAGAGCACTGACTGCTCTTCCAGAGGTCTTGAGTTCAATTCCCAGCAACCACATGGTGGCTCACAACCATCTACAATTCAATCTGGTGTATATGTAATAAATAAATAAATCTTAAAAAAAAAACAATTAGCTGGGGCGTTGGTGGCTCATGCCTTTAATCCCAGCATCAGAGAGGCAAGCAGATCTCTGTGAGTTCCAGGTCAGCCTGGTCTACAGAGCGAGTTCCAGGACAGGCTCCAAAAATACAATACAGAGAAACCCTGTCTCGAAAAAGACCAAAAAAAAAAAGAAGAAATAATAATAATAATTAAAACCTTTCCGGGGAATGGGGAACTCTGGGCAAGAGGTACTTTAGCATCTTGGGTTTATCTAAAGTGGAGAATGGCTTCACTTAGAAGGAAAGGGCTCCGTGAGATGGCCTTGCTACAGCATACCTGGGCTTCCAGTGCTATTGCACAGGTCCTTTTGCCCTTGGCAAATTTGCTTGTCCATGAAAGAGGTAATATTTTCCCAGGCATTAATACCTCCAGGACAGGTGACATCTGGTGGTAGTATCCTGAAGACAACACAGGTGATCATAAATGCACAGCAAAAGAGGTTAGTGTATAGCTCAGTAGTAGAACAAACATTCATAACAAACCCATAAAGCATGGGTTCACGGGTACCCAACACATGCACACAGGTACCCATGTGCATACGAACTCACTCAGGCACATATGCAAGCATACACACACAAAAAAAACAGCAATAACTGCTTTGACATTGCCGAGCGTTTAGCAATTAAAAATTGTGATTCTCTCTTCCCTGCTACTCACAGAGTCTGGAGATTGGTAAAGCCACGGAAGATGTTGGTCAAACCACCCTTGAGAGGATTTGCTTGAAGGTCTCTGCAAAGTAGACACTATTAGTATTCTGTTGAGAAAAGCATGCGATTAGCCTTTATACATGGTTTCCTGGGCTACTGATCCAATCCCTGTCCTCAGTTGTTTGGTTTAAACACTAATATTGAGCGTTATCTCCGAAGACTTTCCCATCACCATATTAGGAAAGTATCTAACCACTTACATGATAACAGCAGCAGAAGCCTGAAGAAACTTCGGACCAGGATCCTTCAAGGAACAGTTCTGGAGATCTATCCTGAAGGAATAAAGTGGATTAATGCAACTATGTCTGTTTTCCATCCCTGGCAAGGCTAGTATTTGTGCACATTCCCCATGGAACATGTGTCCAGAACTATAAAAGAAATGTGATTGGAGACATTATAATCACCTATTATCCAATCCAGTTAGCCCTAGCTGCATGTAGACATTTTAGTTTGCCTAAAACTCAAGTGCATTCTCACAAGTAAGACTTCAAACACGTATGAAATCGTGGCTCCTCTGATGATCAGTACTGACATGGAAAATTTCCATCATCGACAGAAATTTCTTTTGGGTCACACAGTTCTAACCAGTAAGGCTAGGCACTGTGCAAATATTGGAAGAAACTTTGTGCTATCTTCTCCAGGATTAGTAGCTCTCATCTTGTGATTCTCAGACCCAGAGGTTTTTGTTGTTGCTGCTGGGAATTAAACCCAAGCCCTTGTACGAGTAAGGCAAGCACTCTGTCATCAAGCTACAATCACAGCCACCACAGAGACTTTGTTTTGTTTTGAGACAGGGTCTCGCTCTGCAGCCCAGGCTGGTCTCAACCTGTGGCAACCTCCTGCCTCAGCTTCTCAAATGCTGGGGTTGGGTTAAAGACAAGAACCACAGTGCCTAGCAACCCCAATGAGATGATTTCTTTTTGAGACAAGATCTCAATGTAACCCAAGCTAGTCTTAAATTCCCTAGGTAACTAAGGGTGACCTTGGTTTTCTCTGTGTACCCCTGCCTAGCCTTGAACTCACAAGGACCTGACTGCCTCTGCCTCCCAGGTGCTGGGATTAAAAGAAATATATCACCACTGCCCAGTCTACATTGAACTCTGAAATTACAAATTTCAAATTACAAAGACCAGGCCCAGTCACAGAGGTTTTAAATGAAAGAAAAAACAAAACAAAACAACAAAAAGAAGCAAATCAGCCAGGTGTTGTTGGTACACATCTTTATTCCCGACGCCAGGGAGGCATAGGCAGGAGGATCTCTGTGAGTTCGAGGCCAGCCTGGTCTACAAAGGTACACAAAGAAACCAAGAACAACAACAAAAAAAAGTCTATAAAATGGCAAGAACTATCACTTGTCATCTAGGGAAAAAAAAACCTCAAAAGATCTTTTACCTATGGAATAAAAATTTACATCGAATTTAAATGTCTTAGAATCAACATTAGATGCCTCCAGTTAGGTGCCAATATTTATCCCCAAAGTCAGTTAGGCAAGCCTGTAGACTCCAGTCTGGGAACTTTTTTGAGTATCCAAGGATGTCTTCTCCTCCCTCACCCCAAGATGGTGCCCTTCTGATTCAGGCAGCATCGGGCTTGCATTAACGCCGATGTATTCTCACAGTAAACAGCTACTCTGGACGTATTTTGCACGCCTCCCGGACACTGGGTACAAATCTGCAGAAGAGAAGGGAACCTTAAGACTCCAGAGAGAAAAAAAGAACAAACAAGAATCAACAGTTAGCTGTCAGTCCGCCCTCCAGAATTCCTACAATACAGAGCAGAACGCTGGCTTTTATAAATAGAACCCACTTCTTCCTCTACAACCGGGCACCTAATCGAATTACTTGACCCTATTATGTCCTCTCCAGAGACTTCTCCACCTGACAGGCATGGCTTGGCAAGTGTTAAAGGGCTGCATGCAGGTACACAGAGTATTCAAGCATCGCAGAATACAGTCATGCCAAAGCAGTACGGACAATATTCGTGCAAGGACAGCTGGCCGAGGAGCCAGGGGACTCTGGAGTGAGAAGAACAATATAAAGTTACTCAAAAGCAAGGAGATCAGATGTCAAAGGTCTCTGAATGTGGGCAAGGCAAAGGTGCCAGTGGCCTGCGCTACGTGAGTACTCGAGAGCACGATCCCCGCTGGGACAGGGCAAGGGAGAAATCTGAGCTTGGGGCTGGGACAGCCACCGGCGGGCGAGCTCGACGCAAGGCTGAAGATCAGCAGCCTTCTTCAGCCAGACCTCAACCTTTCTGCTGTACCTCAGGTAGAGCCAGAGCCCCTTCCATGCCCACAGCCAGGAGCAGGGCAGCAGCCCAAGGTACCGGGTTCACAGAACCGCCCGGCTCGCTCGGCGCCATTTTCCACTCCTTTCGACCTTCTTGACAGCTCGCGAGAGCCGAGCGCGAGGCCCCGCCCCCACGCGTCGCTTGAGGCGGGGCCTAGTCTCCCGAATCCTGTGGATCTGGGGCGTGGCCTAACCTGCCCGCGCGCGGCTGCAGCTCGCGGAACCCTGGGCTCATGTCTGCGTTCCACTGTGCCTGGGCCCTGGTGGGCAGACCCACCCGGGCAGACCCACCCTCCCTCCATCCTTCCGGTCGCGCAGGCCGCCCCAGCCGCCGCTTAGTTGCTTGGAGTCTACTGCATGCTTCCTCAGCTCGGTGCGGACAGCTGGGCCTCTCCATCCGCCCTCAGTAAACATGGCGGCGCGGCGATCAAGGCGGGCAAGGGGGTGGGGTCCCGCTGTCACCAAGCCGGGCGCTGCTCGGGCCGGGCTGGCCGGCTGGCCAGCTACCCACGTGGAGGAGGTCTCGCAGGTGGGCCGGGCCGGGATGGGGTGGGATGGGGTGGGGCGGGCGAGGCAGGGATTGGGCAGCGGCTGAGAGGCTGAGTGCAGCCGCCTCGGGGCGGGAGGGGCGGGGCGGGGGGGTGAGCCTCTCTGCGTGGGCTTTGGGGAAGAAGGTCTTAAATACTAGCGCCAAGTGTGGTGGGTTCGCCACGTGGGGAGGGAAGGGGAAGACTGGGTCGAGAGAGGGTATGGGTGATGGAGGAGCGAAGATCGGAGGGCGAAGGGCAAACGCTGGCCGGGAGGACGCGAGTCTGGGAACCCTTCACCTTAATGTTGCGTAGTGTTCGGGAGCCCGGGCAAGGTGGTGAAGCGGGAAAGACGCTTCCCTAACTCGTTCATTGCCTTCCCAGGGAAAGAGCAATGCTGGTTTCGGAAAGAACGAAGGAGCTTTGGTAGTCCTGGCCGAACCACTGACGCGAGGCAAGGTAGCGCTTCCGCGGAGTGAGTGGCTGGAGTCGCGGGAGCCCTGTCTGGGAGGGCGCTGGGAGAGACCCGGCACACCTAAGGACAGCTATTGCCTTTGGTGAGGACACCTGGAAAGGTCACCAAAGACAATTGGAGTTCATTTCAGGTAAACTGCTTGTGTTTCCTGGCCTGGAAGTCCTGAGTTTGCATTTGCTAATACATTTAGCTGATGGAGTATTTTGTTTTGGTGAGAGATTTACTGGTGGCGGTCGGCCCCGCAGGTGTTCCTTTACAGGTCACAGGAGGAAGAGAGTAAGGATTTAGCCCTGTGACCCAGCACTTTCCTAACTGGTTCACATCCCCAGGACTGCAAGAAACAAACCCACAACCCCTCAGTACCTTTCACTGCAGTTAATCTAATGCAGTGTGTGATGACACGGTTTTCAAGAAGGGACCCTACTTAGTAAAATAGCTTGGCTTTCTTTTGGCTCCTCTGAGATAGACACGTACATCCGTGTGAATCAGTGGGGTTTAGAAAGCGATTGTTCCTTTCCTAGAATTGGATTGTGTGAAATGAAGACTGTGTTACTGGATTGGCATTTTCCCGTCTGCTTAGCTCCTTGTTCTTCATCCTAGAGAATTCTTGCTGCCTAATGCAAAATATTTATCAGGAAAACCCCAGAAGTAGAGGGACCCAGTCTGTACGGGGACCTGACACCCTCTCCTCTCGTTTTTATTTTGAGACATGGTCTCACCATGTAGCTCTGGTTGGCCTGGAACTCACAGATATCCACCTACCTCTGCCTCCTATGTAGCCGTGACTGTTCTGACTCACTCTGTAGACAAGCCTGACCTCCTCAAACTCAGAGATCCACCTGCCTCTGCCTCCCAAGTGCTGGAATTAAAGGCATGTGTGACCACCACCCTGCTAGTCTAAGAAGTTTCATCTCATAGCAGTGATGACTTGCTAAAGAGGGAGAAATCTCAAGGTGTTGCAATATATACAAAGGCCTGAGGCATCTTTAGGTTGAACCAGAATGCCCTGTTGGGATTGTTGGTCTGGAGAGTAGCATTTGTGACTGTAAACATGTGACCCCAGCTCAGACCTTTTTCTTACTCTGTGGGAACCACATCTTGTCAGCTGGGTAATATCTGCCCAGGTGTGTTGAATACAGTATGGGAGAAGATGCCCTGATCTCCTGGTGGGCAGGATGTATTAATATGTCACTAGATTAGTTGAAATCTACACTGTTCCATGAATGACTGACTACAATTATCACTCTGCCCTTCTCCTAGTCTTGGGAATAGTAAGGTTGGACCACTGGTGAGTTACCATTGGAAGCTGCCCATCCCCATCCGCATCCACCGTCCGTCCATCTCAGGCTGACGTGTGTGCTTGGGACCACAAATGAATCCTCCCCAGAGAAGTCAGAATTCTTTGAGCCCCTGAGCCATCTCTCCAGCCCCTTTAATAGAGATTCAGGATTCAATCTTTACAGGTTTTGTAGAGAGATGCTCTGAGACTTTTCAGGTGAAATATCCTGCTGCCCACCATTGGAGGAGGTTGGGATAGGAGATACAACAGGGTCTAATACACAAACAGAAACCGCTTGTCTGTGTAGAGCTTAGAGGGGAGGATGTTTGAGGTTAGAAGGGTGGGGGTCTCAAAGTTGAGTGACACACACTAGATAGGATGTAGTGCCACATGTTGTTTAGGAAGAGCCTGCACTACTCTACCTTAGGCTGCTGTCAGGTAGGAATTCAGCACTAGAAGGTACTAGATAGGATCGGAGATATGGCTGATTGGTCTGATGGGGCAAAAGTCTGTGAACTAGTGACAGTGAGGCACTTTACTTACTGCTGGCTCACATGGCAAGTATTCAGAAAACATTAACTGTCATCATGTAGGGCTATCTAAATATGTAGCATTCTTTAGTATTACCCTCCACACCTAGGGGATTGCTTTTTATTTATTTTTGTGTTTGTTTCAAGGCAGGGCTTCATTGTAGCCCTGGCTGTCCTGGAACTTGCTCTGTGACCAGGCTGGCCTTGAACTCACAGAGATCTACTTCTGGATCTGCCTGTACCTCCCTGGTGCTGGGATTAAAAACGTGTGGCACCACCACTGCTCTGCCTGGGGATTGCTTTTCAGACAAGACATGCACACTTGGGAGAGTGACATGGATGAGGGATCTCTAGGACTGTACTCTGATGTTGCCGCCGACAGTTACTTAGCTGGGTGGTTTTTAGTTTTTGTTTTTGTTTTTGTTTTTGTTTTTAAGGAGGATTGCTTGAGAGGCCCAAGAGATAGCTTAGTAGTAGGTAAAGGGCTTGCCACCCACGTATGAAGACCAAAGAATGGCAGTTGCCTGTGAATCTCTGCACAAGCCCTGCCTGGAAAGTGACCAGGAAAGACTCCTGCAGCTTCCACGAGCTCATGGGTCTGCTCACAAGCGTGCATAGACATAGAGAAAGGAAAGGCTGCTTAAACGTCTGGGTCGTTCATGCTTCTGTGTGAAGTGAGGATGCTGTGAGAGTGATTTACTTTGAGTAGTGTGATCCCATCTTTGTTCTTTTAAAGATGGTGGCATATTATTAGAATTAATGATCTGTGTGTGTGAGAGTTAGGAAAGTAAATTTTCTGTCTTCTCTAGGCAACTTCTTCCTAACTCTGTCTAGCACACAGGGTGCCAAAAGCGATTTAGCCTGAGAGCCTAATCCATCTAAGAATGCTGTTGTATGTGAGCTTTCTGCTCTCCAGTCTGGAACTTCTATAGTTGGGTTGGGACATAGGGTGATAGGGGCCATTTTAGGGCACTGTGCTTGGTTCCCTGATGAGCCCAGAGCTAATAGCATCTGTGCTTTTGTCTGACCCCAGTTCTTGCTCTCTCCTCAGCTACTTGAAGAATCAGAGCTTCTACCTCTGCCCTGCTCCAGCAGCTCTGCCTCAGAACAGGGGCTGCTTCTCCAGGTATGTGTCAGATCCCAGCATAATGTACATGGGTGTTTTGTCTGCATGTTTGTCTGTACCGCCTGTGTGCCTGGTGCCCACAGAGGCCCTAGGAGGGCATCAGGTCCCCTAGAGCTAGAGTAGTGGATGGTTGTGGATGCTGGGACAGTAGTAGGACAAGAGCTGGGGTGCTGGCAGAAGGGTGACAACTCTGGGTCATGGGAGGTGGAACTGAGGCCAAGGAGAATGGGGGAAATCCTACTCTCCCATTTCTTCCCTGCTGGGCTGTGGCGCCAGGCTGGACTTTGCTGGCTCAATACATTGTAGTGACTGGGTCTGTGCCCAAAAATGGATGCAGGGATTATATAAAGAAAATTAGGCTAGAGTTGGTTTTTATTTTGCTACTTGGGTGGAGACCCAAGAAAGGGCTTGAATTTCATAACTGCACACCCAGAGGTCCTGGCCAAGTCACTGTCTCTTTCTTGTCCGTCTCACTCTGCTGCTCCGTCCCCTCTAACAGAGCTGCCCCGTACCTTGCAGGCATTCACCACTGTGCTGGCTGACTAGTCTGCGTCTGGTCGTGACATGTCCAAAGCCTATGGGTGGGCAGCCATGAGGGCAGGGTAGGCTTGACTGACATGAATTCTTGCAGCTCCCCTTAGACCATGCCTCTGGAAGGAAGAGGAATGCTGTGAACCTGAGCCAGGAATCGGCTTGGAGCCGTTTGCCTTTACCTGCTCAGTCCAGTGACAGCTCAGAGCCCAGGAGCCCTGAGGCACAGGGGCACGGTGAGGATGGAGGAGAGCACCTCAGCTCCCTTCTACACAACCTCAGACACCAACAAGGCGATTGCCACCTTTTCTGTCGTGGACTATGTGGTGTTCGGCCTGCTGCTGGTTCTCTCCCTCGCCATTGGGCTCTATCATGCCTGCCGTGGATGGGGCCGGCATACTGTTGGTGAGCTGCTGCTGGCGGACCGAAAAATGGGCTGCCTTCCTGTAGCGCTGTCCCTGCTGGCCACCTTCCAGTCCGCGGTAGCCATCCTGGGGGCACCAGCTGAGATCTACCGGTTTGGAACCCAGTACTGGTTCCTGGGGTGCTCCTACTTCCTGGGGCTCCTGATCCCTGCCCACGTGTTCATCCCAGTCTTCTACCGCCTGCGCCTCACCAGTGCCTATGAGGTAAACAGGAAAGGGCCACCTCCAGCGCAGGGGTGAGGGGCAACCTCCAGCGCAGGGACAGGGTGAGGGGTGAGGGGCGGGTACCCAAGATCGGACTCTGGGCTTCCACCAATGACTGCCCCAAGGGTCTCTTCTTCCTGGACGGTTAAGCGGGGGGTGCGGGGAGTGAGGGGCGGGGGATGCCATGCCTAGGGGTCAGAGTATATGGCTTGGATAATTCCTTGTGTTACTAGCCCTCTTGAGGAGAGAGGTTATGTATTGTGAGAGTTGGAATCAAGATGTGCCATGCCTTAAAAGGCATATACATTCTTGTGCTTGTATCTAGTACCTGGAGCTTCGCTTCAATAAAGCAGTGCGGGTCCTAGGGACTGTGACCTTCATCTTTCAGATGGTAGGTAGAATGTTCTGGAAACTGAGCCTGGGGCATGGGGGGTGGGGAGGCTGAACTCGGGCCTTTCCCTGTTCTCAGACTGACAGGATTGAAATTCCTGTGAGTGACTGTGTGGCCAAGCCCCTGATGGCCCTGTCCAGTGCCACTGTAGATATGACAGTGGTGGCAAGCCTGACTTTGGGAGAGCGAGCCCAGGTGAGGGGAGCCTTGGGGATGCTGTCTTCTCCCTGTCACAGCCTTCCCCGTATCCTGCAGGTGATCTACATGGGAGTCGCTCTCTATGCACCATCCTTGGCCCTCAATGCAGGTGAGGAGTCACAGCCCCTGACTTCTGCCCTTGGCAGGCAGAGGGGGTAGTGTGCTACAAAGATAGTTGATTCCTTAACAGGGCTCTTGGTCTCTACCAGAGGTAGAAGTAGACTTCATTCACCTCAGTCGAAAGCTGACCAAACATTGCCATGACACACCTGAACTGGTTAATCAACATTTCAGTGGAGCTCTGAACGTCTTTCCTCATTGAGGAATGATTTACTTTACCTTTAATGACTAATTGCTTCATTGTTGTAATGGGTTTTGTTTGTTTGCTTGTTTTTTGAGACATGGTCTCTGTGTAGCCCTGGCTGTTCTGGCACTCTGCTGTGTAGACCAGGCTAGACTCCCAGAGACCCACCTGTCTCTGCGTCCCGGAATGCTGGGATTAAAGACATGTGACACCATGGCTGGTTCATGTCTATGATCTGAGTAGCTGTCCTCCCCAGGGCTTCTCTAGAAAACCTTCCAGAGATTGGATTGTGACTTTTATGTTTTCAGTGACTGGATTTGATCTGTGGCTGTCAGTTCTGGCCCTAGGGATTGTCTGCAACATCTACACAGCACTGGTAATTACAGTTATTCCTGGGGTAACAGCAGAAAGATGGGAGAAGGGAAAGAGGGTTAGCATAAGAAGAGACGAGAAATGGGATGAAGTTCAGGGTGAGGCACGGTGGAGTGAGATTAAGTATGGGCTACGAAAGAAGCTGTGCTGGGTATTATGCAGGGGCTTTCTTGGGAGTGTGATATCAGCCCTCTGTTTGATTTGGCGTTTGTGACAGACATGATTTTTTTTCCTTGCAGGGTGGGCTGAAAGCTGTCATCTGGACAGACGTGTTTCAAACGCTGGTCATGTTCCTAGGGCAGCTGGTGGTTATCATTGTAGGCTCTGCCAGAGTAGGCGGCTTGGGGCACGTATGGGACGTGGCCTCCCAGCATAAACTCATCTCTGGGATTGAGTAAGTCTGTGCTTCCCTCAACTGGTACCTATAGCAGTAAGTGTCTGAGCACATTTCAGAGCCTGGTCTCAGGCCCTTAGTAAGCAGAGAGGAAGCGACAACACCATAGGCAGAAAACCCATACTGCAGAGGGAGAAGGTGATTGTGGGTGGATCGTGGACGTTGCCTGGATTCATACCAGTGACCGTGGCAGTGACCAGGTAGTATTTGTTACAGGCTAGATCCCGACCCGTTTGTGCGTCATACTTTCTGGACTTTGGCCTTTGGGGGTGTCTTCATGATGCTGTCTTTGTATGGCGTGAACCAGGCGCAGGTGCAGCGCTACCTCAGTTCCCGCTCAGAGAAGGCTGCTGTGCTGTGAGTGCGGGGATGGGACGAACTGGAGCAAGAGCCTGGGGAGGGTCCCCCGGAAGCAGTGGGGTGGACAGGATTCAGGGTGCTTTCTGGAGGCTCAGGAGGGCGTGTCTAACGGTGCCGGTGTCGTCTCTGTCTTTTGCAGCTCCTGCTATGCAGTGTTCCCCTGCCAGCAAGTGGCTCTCTGCATGAGCTCACTCATTGGTCTGGTCATGTTTGCTTATTATAAGAAATATACTATGAGCCCCCAGCAAGAGCAGGCAGCACCTGACCAGGTGAGGGGGCCCCTCTGGTTCCATCCTGTGCTCATGAGAAGCCAGTCTTGGTCCCTAAGCAGAGTCTGTATGACTAAACTGGAAAAAAATAGATGAATAGTGTTTTACCGTTCTGAGGTCCCAACCGTCTAGCATGTCAGAGTCCAGTCCTCAGCAAATCTAATCAGTGCTCACCCCATTTGATGGGTGGGGAAACAACTGGTCCAGCTCCCGCTGTGGGAACTGTTGCGTGTCTGCTCTCATCCCAGCTTCCCAGAGCCTCCTTTTACGGGAGGCGGCTTGGTGAGGTAGGCAGCATGCTGCCCTCACACTGCTCGTCAGAGGAGGCGCTGGATGGGCTGTGTAGTTTGCTCCTCAGGCCCCTTTCCTCCCTGCTTGACGAAGAAGATGCCTTCATTGCTGGCTCCCTGTCCCGATGCCCCCAGGCTCTGAATGGCAGGGGCATGTCCAGAGGGGCTTCTCCACACAGAAAGCAGGAGGGGCATCTCTCTGAGTGTGCTCTGCTCTGCTTACAGTTAGTCCTCTATTTTGTCATGGACCTCCTGAAGGACATGCCAGGGCTACCTGGGCTCTTTGTTGCCTGCCTCTTCAGTGGATCCCTCAGGTACTCCTCTACAGTTTGCCCTAGATAAGGTATACCTGCCTGCTGGGACAGCGTGCCCATATGTTTTGGGTGGCAGAACACAGCATAGCCTCTCCCAAATTATCTTTCATTTGACAGTGTCAGCCATCTATGGGAACAAGTCTATGCTCCATCAGAAAAGTCCTACTTTCCCAACCTCCTTTGACGTAGCCTGATCTATGTGTGTATAGGTGGGAGTTTCTTCCCTTTATGCCGCTGACCCCTCTGGAGTCTTCTTTGGCTCTCAGATCCATCCTTTCCCTCCTTTGCAGCACCATATCATCTGCATTCAACTCACTGGCAACTGTCACCATGGAAGACCTAATTCAACCCTGGTTCCCTGAGTTGACGGAAACGCGGGCCATCATGCTTTCCCGAAGCCTTGGTAGGACTCTCCTCTGTGTATCTTAAGTCTTGTTCCTTCTGAGATGCACCCTGCACTGTCACCAGACTTCTGCAGTGCACAGCCCTCACCCCCTCTCCCCACTGTGTATTGCTTTGAGGGGAGAGCAGGAGCACAGAGTCTGGGTCACATGATGAGAGCAGCAGTGGGCCCTGTCTTTCTAGGGGTACGGAGGTTCGGTTGGAGAGTGTTACCCCTCCCCATGTTTACTCACATCACTGCCTCCCCTCCGTTTCTCCCCAGCCTTTGCCTATGGGCTAGTCTGCCTGGGAATGGCCTATGTTTCCTCTCATCTGGGATCAGTGCTCCAGGTAATGCCTAGAGAGGAAGATGCTCTTAGCAGGAATGGGGGAATATATTTGAAACGGGAAATGAAGGTAGCTGTTTCGAGAGGTGTGGAATGTGCCTTTAAAAATTATTACATATAAGCTGGGCATGGTGGTGCACACCTTTAATCCTAGCACTCAGGAGGCAGAGGCAGGCAGATCTCTGAGTTCGAGACCAGTCTGGTCTACAAGAGCTAGTTACAGGACAGCCTCCAAAGCCACAGAGAAACCCTGTCTAGAAAAAACAAACAAACAAAAACTGGGCATAGTGGTGCACATTTTTAATCACAGCCCTTGGGAAGCAGAGGCAGGCAAATGGATCTCTGAGTTCAAGGCCAGCCTGGTCTAGAGAGTGAGTTCCAGGACAGCCAAGGCTATACAGAGAAACCTTGTCAAAACCAGAACAAAATTACATGTATTCATTTATTGTATGTGGAAACTTGCATGCCAGTGCTCAAGGGAAGGTCAGAGGACAGCTTTTGAGTTGGCTCTGTCCGTGCAGCATGTGGGTCCTGGACCTTGAACTCAGGTGTTAGCCTTTATCCCCTGAACCATCTCACCAGCCCCATAAATTCTCCTTGGATAGATGACCTTTATCTATGCACAGACTCAAGTGAGCAAAAGCCCCAGCGTCATTTGTTACCCCAGAGACCTAGAGCTTGGCCTCAACCAGGGGTGCATCACCGCAGCCTTTCCCCCCTGAGGAAACCAACAGCTGATGGTTGACAGCACATGGAGGAGGCTGAAGACTGAGCACATGTGTTCTTTTCCCTTTGCATCAACTCCAGGCAGCACTCAGCATCTTTGGCATGGTTGGAGGACCACTGCTGGGACTCTTCTGCCTGGGGATGTTCTTTCCGTGTGCCAACCCTCTTGTGAGTGACGCACCTTGCTCCTCAGATGTGCATGTGGATAGAACTGGACTGTTGGGTTCAGCAGTTCTGGGGACAGGTATGACGGTTGTGGTGGGCCTTGTGACAACAGAGTTGGCTGTCTCTGGGCAGGGCGCCATCGTGGGCCTGTTGACTGGACTCACCATGGCCTTCTGGATCGGCATTGGGAGCATAGTGAGCAGGATGGGTTCTGCCGCAACGTCCCCCCCCATCAATGGGTCCAGCTCCTTCCTGCCCAGCAACCTGACCATCACCACTGTGACCACCCTGATGCCTTCCACCACCCAGGCCAAGTGAGACGGGGCTCACTTTCTCCATGGGTGTGAAGCTCAGTTTTGAGGGGTTTCATGGGGACCTTGCTAAGGGTTGGGTTACCACAAACTGTAAGCAGGGATAGGTTGGGTTCTGGGACCTTGTAGGTGGTTGTCTTGAAGTGCCTCAAGAATGCTGTGTTAGCTGGGTGGTGGTGGCGCATGTCTTTAATCCCAGCACTTGGAGAGGCAGGTGGATCTCTGTAAGTTTGAGACCAGCCTGGTCTACAAGAGCTTCCAAAGCCACAGAGAAACCCTGTCTTGAAAAAAGAAAAGAATACTGTGCCAAGTGACTGTCCTCATGCTCTCCTTAGGCCCACAGGACTGCAGCGTTTCTACTCCCTGTCCTACTTATGGTACAGTGCACACAACTCCACCACAGTCATCGTTGTGGGCCTGATTGTCAGTCTGCTCACCGGTGAGGGTGTGGGATTGTCACACAACAAAATGAGGGGCTTGGGGGGTGGGACCCTGCCCTTGGGACACTGAGTGTCAGTAACAGCCACTCTCCCCGGCTGACATCTGCGTGGGCTGGAGGCCGGGGCCTTGGTGAAGGGAAGTGCTGTGCTCCAAGGGTTCCTGACGAACACCTTTGCCACAGGGGGCATGCGGGGCCGGACCCTGAACCCTGGCACCATTTATCCTGTGATGCCAAAGCTCCTCTCACTCCTGCCCTTATCCTGCCAGAAGCGGCTCTGCTGGAAAAGCCACAGCCAGGTGAGACGCATGGTCACCTGCAGCCATTCCCCTGTCCTCCTTGCGCCTGCCATGTTTCCCACGCTAGGCCTACCTGGCCGCCTCTGCCCTTTCCACCCTCGCCTTCACCTCTGCTCGTGTGTTCCCCAGGATGCCCCCGTGGCCCCCAAACTGTTTGCAGAGAAGATGAGGAACGGAGCACTGCAGGGCAGCGGGGACAAAGAAAGGATGGCTGAAGATGGCCCTGTCCACCAGCCGTGCAGTCCCACCTACGTTGTCCAGGAGACCTCCCTGTGACGGGACTCTAGCCTCCAGTCTGTCCGCCCTGCAGGACAGCAGCCACAGGCTGTTCTACAGTGCAGCATGAGTCACTACACGTGTTCTGCAGGGTGGGGTGCAGTGAGCTAGCCCACACACAGGACCTTGACCTTTAATGTATTCACCTCCATGGACGCTGTTGTGTGCAAGGGTGAGACAGGGTTTTCCTCATCCCTTGCCAATCTCTCTCAGGATCAGCTTTGAACGGTACAGAACTAGGCGCAAGTGGACAATCGGTGAATACACAGGAAGAAGGCATTTGATTAAGTATGACCAGAGAGTCCTTTGGAGTGAATAGGAACATTTCTTGTAACTGCCCTGGGGACTGATTTGGCGAGATTGGCCAGCACCTCCATTAAGCATGAAGTCCTTGGCTACCTGTTGATTCCCTCCGCCTTCATGTCAGCCATTTGTGGGTGCCTGAACAGATAACAGTTCAGGTTATCTGTAACACTCAAGCCCCCCTCATTCATACCTGCCTACCTCGATTCTTGAGAGGGAGTGTCCTGGAACTCAGAGTAGACAGTTGTGTAACATCTGCTTTGTAGAGGGGGCAAGTTTTCTACACCGCAGGCCTCTCCTTCCTCAGGTGGTACTTAAGACAGGGTCCTCACCAGGTTCCTTCTGCAGTGTGCTATCCTCTGACTCCTAAGCCAGGCCACCCTGGTTCATTCTGTCATCCATGCGCCTATTTCCTGTTGGAGTTTCTTCGTGCATTTTGTTCCTAGGGAATAAAAAAGCTGTTAGACCTAGTGTCTGGCCTTTGTGTTCCTTTAAGTAACCACCTGTCCCCTGGAGAAGATAAGGTCTCTGTGTAGGTGGTCTTCCTCTACTGAGGCAGAGGACTTGTGACTGCTGGAGGTGGGGAGGGGCCGTGTCTGGCTCATTGCTACTTGATGTGTATCATCTTGTCACCTGCCACCTCAGTTGTTCCCCACAAGCACTGCTGGGAGGTTTGCTGCTGCTGAGAATAGCAAAGAATGTTAACGAGAAATGATACTGACTTGGATAGCGACAGCATTAACACTGCCCATGCCTCCCCCTGCTCGGCCCCATCCTGCTGCTCAGAGCGGCTGTGCACAAGTTCTCGGGGTCCCAATAAAAACACAGGGCCAGGCACATCTGAGGGTTCAGTCACAGCCCAACTGCTCCCCCATGTGCCTTGCAGCTCAAGCTACAACGTGTGTCTCAATAGCAACCCCAAGTTTTGTTTAAGAAAGTAGTCTTAGGCCTGTGAGATGGCTGCGGAGCCTGTGAGCTTGATAGAAAACCGACTCCTGAAAGTTGTCCTATGACCCCCACATACCCCATAGCATAAAAAACAAACTTGGAGTGGAGCCCATGTTATGTCAGGATGTGGGGAGACATGGAGATGACAAGTTAGACTATAATATCAAGACAGGACTAAGTCTCATTGTTACCTTGGCTGGCATGGTCCTCTTGCCTCATCATCCAGAGTGACTGAACTAAGGATGTGTGACTTTGAGTCATCCTTCACTCACTTGACCTGCTGGCCTGACCACCATTGTTGAGGATCAAGGCTTCTGCCCAAACAGACCCCAGTCACTTCCTGACTTCAAAGGGCAGGAGGAGTTGGTTAGTGGGTAACAACCTATGCTCTTGCAGAGGAGCTGGGATCCGTTCCCAACACCCACATGATGGCTCACAATCATCTGTAATGCTAGTTCCAAGGCATCTTATAATCGCCTCCTCTGACCCCGGCTATGGTACATATACATACATGAAGAAAAAACACTCATACACATAAATAAAGATTTAAAGAGGAAAGAAAGGCACACATTTGAGTAAGGCTCAACAATGAAGTTTTGTAAGAAAATGTAGAGAAGTGGGTTTCAGAAATAGAATGTCCACAGCAACAGGGCAAGTATCCTTAGGTTTTGGGCTGATATCCAAGAAAAAAATGAGCAAAGGACAAGTTATGCTTTTGAGCTGGAATTCAAAGCAGGAAGCTGCCTTAGTGAAGATCTGTAATGGCTTTTGTGTCTTGAAGTGCATCACCTCACTGAGGAGATAGTCCTCATCTCCTTCACTGGTCTTCAGGTAAATCAGCTCTTCTCAGGGCATTTCCTGGTCAGGTGACAAGAGCAGTCAAGAGAGGGGACAAGGCAGGCGGATCTCTGTGAGTTCGAGACCAGCCTGGTCTACAAGAGCTAGTTCCAGGACAGTCTCCAAAGCCACAGAGAAACCCTGTCTTGAAAAACCAGAAAGAAAACAAAAAAAGAGGGGACAATAGTATATAGCATTGTAAAAGAGGGCAAATGGAAATGTTATGTCTATGTAAGATCAGGTTCATTTTTTAAGACTTTATTTTATGTGTATGAGTGTACCTCCCGCATACTTGGTGCCCACCAAGGTAATAAGAGGATATGAGATCTGGAACTTGGGTTACAGATGGTCCATGAGGGTGCTCAAAACTCAACCTTGTGAGCAATAAGTGCTCATAACCACTGAACCATCTCAGCCCCATTCTATCCCTTTTGACCAGTAAGGAGTACTCTCTTTAGTGGACCTCAGTGCAAACCCTGACAGTTCCACCTTGTTCTCCTACAGCATTATTTTATAATTTATTCTTATTTTGTATGCGCTGGTGTTTTATCTGCATGTTTGTGTGAGGGTGCCAGATCTTGCAGTTACGGACACTTTCAAGCTGCCATGTTGGTGCTGGGAACTGAACCCAGAACAACCAGTGCTCTTAACTGCTGACCTATCTCTCTGGCCCTCATATAGCATTTTAAATCTTTTTGTTCGTTTGTTCTAGTTTTTCAAGACAGAGTTTCTCTGTGTAGTTTTGGAGGCTATTCTGGAATTCACTCTGTAGAACAGGCTGGTCTCGAACTCATAGAGATCCAACTGCCTCTGCGTCCCTCCCAAGTGCTGAGATTAAAGGCATGTACCCCAAAACAATACAGAGAAAAAAAACAACCCCCCCAAAAGGCATGCACCATCTCTGCCTGGTTCTAAATCTTTTTTTTAAAAGATTTTATTTGTTTATTATATATAAAGTGTTCTGTCGGCATGTATCCCGGCAAGCTAGAAGGCACCAGATCTCATTACAGATGGTTATGAGCCATCATGTGGTTGCTGGGAATTGAACTCAGGACCTCTGGAAGACCAGCTAGCATTTTTTTTTCGAGACAGGGTTTCTCTGTATTGTTTTGGAGGCTGTTGGTCCAGCCTGGCCTCGAACTCACAGAGATCCGCCTGCCTCTGCCTCCCGAGTGCTGGGATTAAAGGCATGCGCCATCAATGCCAGGCCCAGCTAGTATTCTTAACCTCTGAGTTATCTCTCCAGCCCCTGCATTTTACATCTTAAGGAGGGCAACGCCCATCATCAGTGACCTCCAAGTCTTCTAACCCTATCTAACCACTTACCATTCCTCTTCTCAGGAGTTATGACCTTAAAATCATTCAGAAGACAGGCATCGAGTCAGTCTGGCTACTTCCTGCCAAAATGGAACATAGAAAGGTTAAGGGTCTCCACTCCTGCTAACTTTCAGGCATTGGAAGTTGCTCAAAGACTCACAGGTGGGGCTAGGTTACCAGGATACCAGTCGAGGACTGGAAGAGGACCCGTGCAGTGATGATGCAACTTGGATCTCCCTTTAACCCCTTGGCTCCTAGGTCCTTGATTTCTTTGTTATTTTTGAGGCAGGGTCTCATTATGTAACTCTGGTTGTCCTGAAACTTACTATATAGATCAGGCTGGCCTTGTACTCACAGAGATCAACAGCCTCTGTCTCTCCAGTGCTGGGGTTAAAGGTTGCTACACCACTCCTGGCTGGTCCTGGGTTTCTTCTAAGTTTTGAGTCCTGTGGGTTTTTGTTTAATCTTCTAGGCAAACTACAGATCAATGTGTAAAATTCTGAGAATAAAGGGAACGACTCTGAAATGCCAGTGGTTGTATGTGGTGTGGGATTCTGGGACAATGCAGCAAGCAGAGTCCTTGGCTATCAAATGTTACCTAGGTGGAGCCTTGCAGGAACCATGACTAATTACCAATGAGTTAAGGAGAGCTGGTTAGGCCTAGTGAGCTGCTTGGTAGGGAACGGTTCTGAACCAATGAGCAGGGCCTTTAGCCTCCAGTTAGAGGGCTGCCGGGAAGACTTAGTGACAGAGTCACTTGCTGTTTTGTTTGGTTTACTTATGCATTTATTTTGGTGACAAGGTCTAATAAAGCCCAGGCTGGGTCCAGATTGGATATGGAGCTGAGGATGACCTTGAACTTCTAATCTTCTAGATTGCTGGGGCTACATGTGTGAGCCCACCACACCTGGCTTATGTAGTGCTGGGGGTCAAACTCAGGACGTTATGGATGTTAAGTTAGCACTCTGCCAACTGAGCTACAGCTCCAGAATCACTTTGGTGTTTTCTAGGAGTGTCCTCGATACTGTGGGAAGGATATTCTTTAAATTTTTTTTTGGAGACAGGGTATCCATAAGCAGCCCTGGCTTTCCTGGAACTTGTTGTGTAGATCTGGCCTTGACCTTGAAGAGATAAGCTACCTCTGCCTCTTTTATACTGGCATGCACGTTTTAAGACAAAAACAAAGTGTAAACCAGAAGATGGTGGTGCACATCTTTAATCCAAGCACACAGGAGGCAGAGGCAGGGGCATCTCCGTGAGTCCAAGGCCAGCCCGGTCTATGGAGAGAATTCCAGGACAGACAGGGCTACACAAAGAAAACCCTGTCTTGAAAAACCAAAATCAAACAAACTTGTTCTATTTGAGTTTTAGTGAGACTTTGAAGTCACTGAGGGTACGCCTTTAGAGGAAGTTGTGGGATGCCAGCTCATGCCTGTCTTTGGTTCCTGGCCTCTGAGATGAGCAGTTGGCTCCCATGCAACCCAGTGCCCTGCTGCTTCCTTGCTATAGCGAAATCATTTCCTATTATAAAATGATTATTTAAAGTGATTTATTGCTTCGGGACACAAGACAAATGTGTGCGGCTGGAGGAGAGGCTGTGGATGGCTCAGATTTCCATCTGGGTGGGAGGACACAACACGAGCAGTCTCAAAATAACAAGCCAATCGGAGAAGGCGGCTCTACCAGGACCAGATGGGATTCAACCTTCTTCTCCTTTCTGTTCCTCTCAAGACGCTGTGGACAGTGACTGCTTTCTTCTCTAAACGGTACCAATCCTCAGGGAGATGGGGCAAGGCCTTTGGACTTAGGGATTCTCAAGATTTTATTACCAGTCACAGAACAGATCTGTGCTGAGCCTTTTGAGTCCTTTAGGATCACAATGATTCTTGAGGGAGTCAGTGTTTCTTGGCTAGGTTGTAAATAGCAACTTCAGGCAGGGCAGAGCTGACGGGGGGGGGAACGCCTTACTGGGAGGGTGCAGGGGTCACGCAACCCTTGGCGGCTGCAGTTGGTTATGTCAGGTGTTTGTCTCAGTGCTAAAAGCGGAAAATTTACATTGTACACGTTACTATAACCAGAATTTCAAAGGAAACTGTAGCACATGCCTGTAATCCCAACATTCAGGATACTGGGCTATATAGCAAGAATTCAGCAGGCACTCAGAGACTCTGAGTTTGAGCCCAGCCTGGTCTACAGAGTGAGTTCCAGAACAGGCTACAAAAGATATCCTGTCTCTAAAAACCAAAAAACAAATAAATAAAATCAAGAATTGAATTTCTTGGGGAAAAGTACTCATGGGTGGAGTCAATACATACACTTTGTATATAAAAGAGCGTTTGCATAAAGAATGTCTGTGTAGCCCAGGCTAGCTTCAAACTTAAGATTCCCTTGCCTCAGTTTCCCTGGAACTATAGCACCACCATGCCAGACTGTAGTTAATATTTTTGGAGTTCCCTCCAACCTTCCTAGTTCTTAATAATTTAATGTGAAGGCTGTTGTGTGGGAGCATGGTGTGGAATCAGGCAGCTCAAGGGAAAGGATGGAGATCACAGGACGGGAAGGCGTCCCACGGAGAAACAGCTGGAAGGAACGAAGACGTGCACAAGGAGTAGCTAGAGCCAGAGTGTAGTGAGGAGGCCTTCTATAGAGGAGGAAGAAGAGGTAGAAAGAGCCAAAGTGAGGTAGGGTCATCCACCATGGAGGTGGCCTGGAGCCCCGTTGGGCCCCTGGCAAAGAAGAAGCAGTCATAGGAGTCACGGTGCAGTTTCAAGATCTGAGCAGAGAGAGCACAGACACAAGATACCCAAGACACCGTGGCTGGCTACAAAGACATGAGTCTAATAAGACAAGCTCCATTGCTAGATGAACAGGAAGGAAGAGAGCTAGAGTGGAACCCAGGGCTGGGGAGACGGCTTAGGTGGTGGAATGCTCACCTAGACACAGGTCCTTGAGCCCCCACATCACTGTAAGTCCAGCTCTTGAGAAGCAGAGACAAGAGGACTAGGAAGGGGTCAAGATCGTCAGCTGCTGGGCTGGAGACAAACACTGGGCGGAGCTGGGTTTGATTTCCAGCACTGTTAGCCATCTGTAACTCCAGTTCCATGGGATCCACTCTGCAGACCAGGCTGGCCTCGAACTCACAGAGATTCGCCTGCCTCTGCCTCCCAAGTCTGGGATTAAAAACATGACTCTTCCAGAATCAGTTAAAACACTCATATAAAACAATAAATAATAAAATACATAACTTTTGAAATAATCATCAGCTACATGATGAGTTTGAGGCCAGTCTGGGCTACACGGGACTCTACCAAAAAAAAAAAAAAAAAAGGCAAATGTGATGACAGTGAATTGGTGGCTTGGAACAGGAAATGTTGGCATGTGCTATATCTTCATGAGCAGGGGTGAAAATAACTGTCCGGAGAGCCTTGGCTCAGTAGCACTCCAATAACAATAAGCACGTCATGCCTAGATCTTTGGTCTCTAAATACCACTGAGCACTAAAAAACAAACAAAACTCCCCAAATCTGGTCATATTGGCGCATGCCTTTAATCTCAGCACTCGGGAGGTAGAGGCAGGCAGATCTCTGGGAGTTCCAGGCCAGCCTGGTCTACAGAGTGAGTTCCAGGACAGTCAGGATTACACAGAGAGACTCTGCCTCAATAAATAAATAAATAGATAAATAAACAAACAAATAAATAAATCTGAGAGAAAAATAAAGGCAGCAGTTTCTTGGACAAATGGGTTATTTCAGGCTGGAGGCAAAGTACAAACTGTGCCAGGAACAAGTTACGCAAGAAAGCCAAGTCTTTCTCAGTGAACGATAAGATCTTCTCAAAGGGACATAAAAGCCAACTGGCAGAATCTAGGACAATCTAAGCCTTAACATGACAGGACTTGGGGCTGGGAACTGGAGTTACAGGTGTTGGTGAGCCACCGTGTGGGTGCTGGAAATCGAACCCTGGTCCTCTGGAAGAGCAGCCAGTGCTCTTAACTGCTGAGCCATCTCTCCAGCCCAAGCTGACTGACTTTTTGTTTGTTTTTTCTTTTCTTTCTTTCTTTCTTTCTTTCTTTTTTTTTTTTTTTGGTTTTTCAGAGACAGGGTTTCTCTGTATTGTTTTGGAGCCTATCCTGGAACTCGATATGTATACCAGGCTGGTCTTGAACTCACAGAGATCCACCTGCCTCTGCCTCCCTCTCAAGTGCTGGGATTAAAGGCATATGCCACCTACCTCCGGCGCTGACTGACTTTTTAAAATATATTAATTTAAGTCTTTATCTTATGTGTATACATGTATGTCTCCTCGTCTGTGAGTGAAAAAAGAGACAGAAAGGAAAGGGACATGACTGCTCCTAGGTCTGGCAGAGAAGGTTTATTACGAGATGTGGGAGAGCAGAGCCGAAGGCAGGGACAAGGCTCAGAAAGTCCAGCTTGAGCACCACCCTGAGCTGAGCCAGGTGGGGAGAGGGGGAGGGGAAGGGGCAGAGGAACGAGGGAGCGGAACTCGGCTCAGCAGCTAGGAGGCCAAAGGTACAAAAAAGGGCAGGTGGTTAAAAAGTCTGGATTAAATGGGGAAGAGAGGCCCAGCCCCTGCCCCAGCAGGAGCACTCAGGGTAGGGAGTGGGGTATGCTGGCCACACCCTGTAACAGGAGGGCCTGAGGGATTCTGGGAGAACCTGGGGCCAGGGCTGCTTTGATATGTTAAATAGGCACCTAGGCAAGCAGTCTGTCGCTAGGTTGAAACTTAACAGTCTACACGTACATCAATCACGCGCTTTCAGATGCCCACAGAGGTCAGAAGAGGTCGTCTGATCTCCTGTGTGGATCTTGGAAACTCAAGCCAGGTTCTCTACAGGAGCACCCAGCGTGTACTGGTGAGCCATATCTCCAGTCCCTGGCTACACATTCCAACCCATGTGATCTAGAGTTCCAGCTCCAGCTAAAGGCCTGTGTCAAGTCACCGTCCCCTGTCATTTCTTCTCAGTGAGCTTTTATGTGGTGGCCACTTGGGCTCTGTGGTCCATGGCTCCTCTCTCTCCTGTTTGACCCTCCAACGCCTTTATCTTTCCTTTTCCCTTGAACAAGGACGACCTTTGTCCTTGCTCCATGAATCTGTCACCCGCTGACCTGCCCTTGGGTAAAGTTTCGAAAGCCGTTTCTCGGGAGAGTTTTCCTTTCTGATCCTCTTGAAGACTGACTTCCCAGTAGCCCCAGTGCTACCTGGAGAGTCTGATGACCAAAATGTTGGACACCTCCTCCTTTTGTACCAGGACCCTAGAACTTAGTAGACTTCCAGACTTAGCACCATGATGGAGCTTCCATTATGGTCATAAAACTCAGCACATAGACAGCATCACCTGCCAAAACAAAACAGAGACCTAAGCCATCAAAGCCGTAGCTTTGGCAAAGTCTCTAAGTGTACTAACCTTGCTTTCGGCTTCTGTCATTTCACTTCTGGCTGACTGCTCTTGTTAACTGAAGTGTGTCAAATCAGAAGTTTTTTGGTGTGTGCTTTAAAGCTCACCCCGAGAAAGGCTCACTGGGATCCCGCACACCCATATAGTCCCTGGCTGGCTAATAAAGATTTTCTATTGGCTGAAACCCTTGTCCATGCAGTCTTCTCTGGTTTTTGGTCTGCTTTCTTTTGGAAAGGATCTTTCTTCACCTCCCCAAAGCTATGGGCCAGCAATCCTCCAGCGACCTACAGACTTTGTTCGGTAGCATGGCCTGGTTGGAGTACTCTGGACAATGGCTGGGCAGCGAGTTTCACATTCAGACGGAGTTTACACTAATGCAATGGAATGTGACCACAGGCTTCCCACAGTCAAGCCTTACTCTTTCTCTACTCCAGCCCTGCTCCCTGTGTCTCCTGCCCGCCTTTCAGATCCTTCTGCCCTAAAACCCTCTCTTCCACGCTCTTGTGTAAGAACTATTAAATATGAGTCTTCTCTATCGAATACTATAAAACTTGTGTTTGGAACAAGGGATTCAAAATTTTTTTTATCTTCCCCACCTTGAAAGACTTTCGTGTAAATATTTTAATACCCAGTAAAACCTTTGTTTACACAGAGACCCACTGCTAGGTTCCAGGAACCTGAAGGCAGGAGCAATGGCCCTTTCCTTTTGTTTCATTTCCTATATACAGTGTTTTGTCTGCACGTCTGCCTGCAGGCCAGAAGAGGGCACCAAATCTCACTACAGATGGTTGTGAGCCACCATGTGGCTGCTGGGAATTGAACTCAGGTTCTCTGGAAAAACAGCCAGTGATCTCAGCCTCTGAGCCATCTCTCCAGTTCCCCTATAACCAGTTCTTTTAAGACTAAGACTAGCCAGTCAAATAAGACTGTCCTGTCAGACCCCAGCCAGTGGGGGACAAGACAGTCATCATCTGAGTTAGAAGAAAAACCAAGCACACTTCCTGTCTCTCCAGTTTGTGCCCTCGAATCTGAGCACGTGCTCCTGGCAAGACTGTTGCTCCCTCAGACACTTCAGCTGGTGTGGTGCTCTCTTACTTTGTGACCCTGCACTTGTTTCTAAAAATTTAGGGGCCTTGGCTGGGATCCTAGCTCAGGGGAGGGAGTGCCTCAACCCCTGGCAGGGGAAATTCATCTTACCAGCTGTTTGTTTCCTTTGATGGCCCTGGGACGCTGGCCTCTGGCATTTTCCAGGCAAGACTGCAGTGTTTGGAAGTCTCTAAATGGAGGGAGGCTGATCCAAGGAGACTGCGGTGGTGACCAGGCATACTCTGCACAAACCGAAGGTAAGAGACGCTGTGGTTATCAAGCCACACTGGGGACTTGAGATGTGCCCTGACAAGTGCAAGAAGCCTCCATAAAAGGAGTTGAGCAGAAGATAAATAAGAATGGGGGAATAACCTAGTAAAAACAGCTCTAAACACAAGCGAACAAAACAGACAACAGCAACAAAATACCATTAAAAGCCGGGGGCGGGGTGGGGATGTGGCGCATGCCTTTAATCCCAGAACTCCAGGAGGCAGAGGCAGGCAGATCTCTGTGAGTTCCAGGCTAGTCTGGTCTACAAAGTGAGTTCCAGGACAGGCTCCAAAGCTAATAGAGAAACCCTGTCTCCAAAAACAAAATAAAACAAACAAGCAAACAAAAAAGCCACCGTTAAAGTCTGGTATTACCTGCTATCATACAGGCACACCTGGCCCCACCCCTTGGGGACCTGGTAGAGTGCATGATCCCGCCAGGCATGGCAAGTGCAACTCTGTAACTGTGTACACAGGTGCAAAAGGTCCCTTTAAGAGACAAGCTCCGCCTACTCCCTCCTTTCCCACTGCCCTCTGAAGAAGCCAGCAGGTCTCTGTCTCTCCCCTCTCTCCCTCTCCTTACTCTCTTCCTTTCCCCCAATAAAACTTCACACAAAAGGTTTGTCTGCATGGTGTGTTTGCCCCTCACCAGCTGTGGTTTGGACTCACTCCCCAAGGTCCAATCTTATGCCATATTATAACATTGCCTCATTAGTAAATATAAAGGAGGCTACCCCTCAGGGCTTAGTGGCACCAGGGAGTTCATGAGTGTTACCATTTTAGCTTATGCCACATGGTTATATTAACCAAGATCATGGTGAAGTCACATTTACCATCATTATTTCATTAGCCAAGATGGGGCCAAGTCCTAAGGTTGCCTCCATCTTAATGAGGTCATCAGCCAAGACAGGGTGAAGCACATGGCCACTTTCTGTCCATAAGTTCAGCTTCATAGTAAAGTGAACCTGTCCTCCATCCCGATACAAGTCCCTGTGGGGTCTACAAAACACAGATCAAACACGAACAATTTCACCCATTTCTATAAAAAAGACACCGTAGTTAGGTTAGTATTGATACAGGAGATGGAACCGATGGCCTAGGACCAAATAGCAAAGACACAGGCAGGAATTCATGGTTGCGACCCAAGGAAGTTGAGTCCATATGTTTGAATACCGAGAGTCCTTGTTTTAACCTCTCCTCAGTCCCTAGGCATAGGATCCTGCAGAAGGAAATTGGTGACGGAAGCCCAGGAATGGAGAGTGTGCCTGGTGCCCACAGTGGGGCTCTTGCTTGGGAGCGCATGGAGAAGTTAAGAATATGACCTCAGCACTGTTTTATCACACCTGAGCATGGACAACAGGCTGGGGTCAGATGGATCTGGACTTCCACGCTGGCTGGGATTTAAGACTTTTGAATGCCGATTTTTTTTTCAATTTTTTATTTTATTTTATGTGCATTACTGTTTTGCCTGCCTGTATGTCAGTGTGAGGGTGTTAGATCCTGGAGTTACAGAGAGTTGTGAGCTGCCCTGTGGGGGCTGGGAATTGAACCCAGATCCTTTGGAAGAACAGCAAGGGTTCTTAATGGCTGAGCCATCTCCCCTGCCCTGAATACCAATTTTTTAAAAATAGTTAATACTAAGCTGGGTGTTGGTGGCACATACCTTTAAATCAGCACTGGGGAGGCAGAGGCAGGTGAATCTCTGTGAATTCAAAACCAGCTTGGTCTACAAGAGCTAGTTCCAGGACAGCCTCCAAAGCCACAGAGAAACCCTGCCTCGAAAAAACAAATAGTCAATACTAGTTTCAACCCTCAGAAGCCGTGTGTGTACTTTCACCTGGTTAGAAAACAGTCAAATATCATCTAGATAGCATCATCTAAGGCTAGGTGAGACTTAACTACACTGAGAGACTGCCTTTGACCCTTCTACCAGGTCAGGTCCAAAGTCCCAGGTCCTCTGAGGAAAGTGGGTTAAAGGGGAAAGAAAGGAGAATCCCGTGCCAGAGAAGGAGATAGAAACTTAGAGAATCCTGTGCCAGAGGAAAAGATAGAAACTTAGTGGGCCTCTTGATGCCAGAAGGAAATCCAGTTTAACACAACTTCCTTAGCTGGTGCTGGTTCCAACTTCTAGAGTCTGACCTGGGTAGTTTATTTTAGATATATTTAAGTACAGTCCAATTTGGGGCGGGGGGTGGGGTGGGGTGGGAAAGGGATGTTTTCTGGAACAATTAACAATTATCCCAATACCATGTGCACAATAAAGCTTAAGGTGTGACTACATCAAACTTCTTTGCAAAGGACACGTAAACTCTATCACCTTGATAGTTTCTATAGCTTAAGGGCCTAAGATCGGGGGTGATCTTAGGTGCTGTGTGTATCGTAGGGTCCCCAGGCTATGAAGCACATGTGACAGCTCCCCCTAAGGGTGGGTTCTATTGACTGAGAAACAAAGTTCAAGATAAAGGTCTAGGATGATGAGTATGGGATAAACTCGATGGTCTGGGGGATTTGGGTGTGGCCTGTTCTACAGGTAGCACAGATCACCAGACTATTTTTTTGTTGTTGTTGTTTTTTTGAGGCAGGGTTTCTCTGTGGCTTTGGAGGCTGTCCTGGAACTCACTCTGTAGACCAGGCTGGCCTCGAACTCACAGAGATCCGCCTGCCTCTGCCTCCCGAGTGCTGGGCAGATCACCAGACTATTAACTACATCTATTCCTAACTTTGGGTGGAAAACGAGGCATGCATCTCCCCGAAGAGACAGGCCTGTGTGCTTAACATTCCTGGTTTCCCTGGTGTTATCCGTGACACATGGACCTTGTGCCCTCTACACCCTGCCAGATGCCAGAGATGCCCAGAGTGTCTGGGGAACTCTGACCTTCGCCCGGTCTTTGGCCTAGTTTCTAAATGACGTCAGAATGGTAACTCAGCAAAGGAAGGCCTGTTAGGAGAAAACAGTGAGTTTGAAGAATCCAGGTTTACAACCTCTAGCTGAGGTCAGTTGGGAAGCCCTTTTAAAACTGACACAAGAGTTAATGATTGAGAAGTCTTCAGCAGAGCTAAGCTTCCTGATAGCTATCCCACTAAAGGGACTTCAGCCAGCCTGACCATACTCACCTTTAATCCCAGGTCTTGGCAGGGGAATCTTAGAGTTTGAGGCTAGCCAATTTTCTTTTTCAATTTTTTATTCTATTTTATGTGCATTGCTTAAAAGCAAGGAGAGGTTTGTACAAAATATTAAATATGAGCCTTTCCCAACCAAGTACAAAACTCATGTTTAGAACAAGGAATTCAGATCTTTTTATAGTCCCCCTCAAAGACTTTTATGAAAATGTCAGTAAATCCTCACCACCTCAACCTTAGCTTACGCAAAGACTCTCTGCTATACTCCAGGGATTTGATGGCCTGAGCGTACGCCTTTAATGCTAGCAGAGGCAGGCAGATCTCCTGTGAGTTTGAGGCCAGCCTGGTCTACAGAGTGAGTTCCAGGACAGCCAGGGATACACAGTGAAACCCTGCCTTGAGAAACCAAAACAAACAAAAACCAAGACAAAAAAAACAGCTAATAGGTTAACTATTTTTTTACTCTTTTTTTATAGGCAGGGTCTTTTTATATAGCCCTGGCTAGCCTGGAACTCACTATGTAGACCAGGCTAGCCTCAAATTCTAAGATTCCCCTGCCAAGACCTGGGATTAAAGGTGAGTATGGTCAGGCTGGCTGAAGTCCCTTTAGTGGGATAGCTAACAGGAAGCTTAGCTCTGCTGAAGACTTCTCAATCATTAACTCTTGTGTCAGTTTTAAAAGGGCTTCCCAACTGACCTCAGCTAGAGGTTGTAAACCTGGATTCGATAATGTTTTGCTTCTCTCTATCTGCTACAGGCACTCATTAAAACAAACAGCATGGCTATGTGGTTGAACATTTTGGGACCTTGAAAAGCACAATGGAGAAAAACACAGGCTTTTTGAGAGGTAGAAGAGAAGACTTGGATATGCCAATCAAGATACATTTAAAAGTTTCCTGGGCTGGAGGGATAGCTCAGCCATTAAAGGCTAGGCTCACAACCAAAAATATAAAAGTTTCCTTACAGCCATTCGTTGGTGGCACATGCCTTTAATCCCAGAACTCGGGAAGCAGAGGCAGGCGGATCTCTGTGAGTTCGAGGCCAGCCTGGTCTACAAAGCAAGTTCCAGGACAGACTCCAAAACAATACAGAGAAACCCTGTCTTGAAAAACCAAAAAAAAAAACAAAACAAAAACAAAAACAAAACAAAAAAACAAAACCAAAAACAAAAAACCAAAAGTTTCCTTACATTCTCTCTAAATATAACACAGTAGTTAAAAGCACTAGACTGGTGTACTAACCTGGGTGTTCAATAACCATGCTTAGAGGACTCTCTTAATGTAGACAGAGGAATTAAAAGGGAAAATATTGCCCTTTGTCTTCTAAGGTCAACCAGGTCCAAGAGAGCTGTGAGCATCTCCCAGAATGTTCTATAGCCCTGGTGAGTCACCTGTCCTTTTGTTCAGGAAGGTAATGGACACCCCACTGTGTGGGCTCTGACCGGTGGCAATTCTACAAACACAGGGAATTTCCCCCTATGATTCCAGGTTAAGCCACAGGCAGGGAGGACCTTTGATTTATCCTGGCATAGATGGAACCAGTAAAGGAAGGCTGGAGATGCTACTGTCAATCCCAAATGACACCTGAGGACCAGACCCTTAATTGGCCTCGAGAATGGAAACCAAAACTACTCTCCTCCGGGCTCTAGCCTGAGAAATGTAGTTCTCACTCCTCATCAACTTCTCTTTGCAACAGATGGAGACCACTGCAGAAAACCACAACCAATCAAAATGCCCTTCAGAAAATGTCATTTAAAATGGGTTAGGGTTTTTCATGACAGACACAACTGCTCCTGGCACACCAATTACGTCTGAGAGGAAGATGGGCATCAAAGAAACTGGCTATGGAGTTTGCCTTTGACATGGCAAGACTAGCCTTTTGGGCAAGAAACTGCTCTTGCCTGGACTGTTTGTCTGTTGCTGTGTAAACTGGACATGCGGGACCCACAGGAAAGTGACTGCTGAACTTTGACAGTGCTACAGGATTCCTGCTTCATGGAAGAGTCTGTCAGACTTTCCGCAGGACACAGAAAAATGACTGCCAGACTGCCAATGCAGGCGGACAGTTTAAAATTTCCTGCTTTGCTGAGAATTCTGCCAGACACACTGTGACTTATGGGCTGAAGATGGATGTCCCAGAGTTACAGAGGAACTTCAGGTGACTGTACAGGTAGCAAGATGTCTCTGTCAATTCTAGTGTTTATATATTATCCTTCTGTGGTCTTTGATGGATTTGAAGATAGATAGTTATAATTATAGTTTTCCTTAGTTATAATAAAAGATAAGCTACATATAGGACTTTAGACTCACACAGATAGGATAAATGATAAAGTACTTTCTTTAAATCTTACTAAATGTTAATGGACTAAATATTGTAACTATAGTTCTTACTTGATAACTGTTCTATTATATATAATTTGACTATGTTAAAGTTAAAACCTTTCTTTTTATTTAGAAAGAAAAGAGGAGATGATGGGGGAAGTCCTTCTGTGTATATGTTTGTCTTATTGGTTGATAAATAAAACACTTTTGGCCAATAGGGAAGCAAGATAGGTGGGAGTAGGAGTCCAGGAGGATTCTGGGAAACAGAGGCACTGTCAGTCACAATGTAGGATGCAGGAGAAAAGGTCCGGCCCCTTTTCTCCTGTAAGAGAAGACCACATGGAAATACTCAGATTAGCAGTTACAAGTTAATAATTAAATCAGAACTAGCCAAATAAGAAACCAAGCAAATGGCCAACAGCTTCATGATTAATATAGCATCTCGTGTGTTATTTGAGGGCTGAGACAGCTCAGGACCCAGGCGGCTGGCAGGAAGACCATGCATTACACCTAATAAGCCTCTCTGCTGATGCAGACCGAATCAAATCAAACCGAATTAGAAAAAGCCCACGTCTAACGGATACAATGCTCCCAGGTGACCTTCCAGCCCCCCAGAGAGGAGACGGGAAAGAGAAACCGGAAAAACACATTTCTATTTTCTGGGGGGCAGTTTAAACATCCTATGGGAGTGATCTTGAGCATCTCTGGGGAGGGGTCATCATTTGGCATGTTTTCTGAGATGCAGCGGGGTTTGGAGGGAGATAAGGGAGGGGGCTTGAGTGGAATTTCCACCATGACATCCCAGACTCTTTACGTGTGGATGCCAGGGGCTGGGGTGAAGCTTCCACCATAACACTACACCCATAAAGGGTCACCAACATGTCTGCCCAAACATAGCTGAACAAGGACGAGAAGAGACACGCCACCGTGGATGGGAGTCGGGGAACAGGTGGCAGCCCCATGAGGGCTCTGCCCTATACAAAGAACAACAGGCCGCCTGGGAGTGCTGAGTACGAGCTTCCGTCCCTGGCCCATGCTGTGTTTTAGTGGGTGTTGAAGATTCGAACTCAGGTCCTCATGCTTGTGAAGCAGTTCTCTTCCCATAAATCCTTGTGCCCAGACTTAACTGCTTCAGTTTTAATGAAAATGTAGCCCAGGGGATGATTCATCATGGGCAGACAAATGGGAGACTTTTTTTTTCTACAAAGCTGGGACCCAGAAAAGTGGTGTCTCACAACTTTAAACTCAGCACTCAGGAGGCAGAGGCAGGTAGATCTCTGAGTTTGAGGCAAGCCTGGTCTACAGAATGAGTTCTAGTACAGTCAGGGCTACAGAGAAACCCTGTCTTGAAAAACCAAAAAATAGCAACAACAAAACAACAAAATAACTGCATGGAGGCTTGCTTTAGAGCCAACATGCAGTGAGAAAAAAAATTCCTGGAAAACCATGAAATATATATATATATGTGTGTATATATATATATTATATGAACTATATTATATATATTCCATAATCTCCTTGGTCAACAAGCCAAATGTGGTGTTTTGAAAAGAATAGTGAAATTCATCAACTCTGGCAAAAAAAGGCACAAATATTTAATTCTAGAAATAAAAAGACACATAGCCACAAGTATAATTGGCACCAAAGCACTAATAAAATATGGACAGCTTTTGCCAATTAATTCTGGGGCTTTAGATAATAGACTAAGTACTAGAAAAATATTGCTTGCTGAAATAATGTAAGAAATAATAAAGCATCTGAACTCAAAGGTCAGATGTAAGACCGATGAGGGAACTTAACCTAAGAGAGTGCAGGCGTTTATTTTGGAAAAAACGAAACAAAGCATGCAGAGCCTACAGTCCTCTTACAAGCTGGATAGTCAGGGCAGAAGTGGGAGGTGGGGAGAGAGCTGGAAAAACATCCCTTCCCTCTTTTGGCCTGAGATTGGCCATTACTAGTGATAATAAGTTTCTGTACTCTGATATTAAGTCTCTCCGTCATTGCAACAAACCAGATCAGGCCGAAGAAAAGTCCAGGTTTAATCTCAGCAAAGCATTCCCCGGTGGTCCCAGGGGAAGAGGAGAAACCACCAGGGAGAACCACGTGCAAATCATGTCTTAAATAGCCAGCAGGCTTTGTCTTGAGCATCTCAGGGGGAGGAGCTGACCCTTGGTGGGCGGTCTCAGGGGCGGGGTCTGGAATGGGAGGAGTGAGGCTCCCCCCCCACTCCCCTCCTCCCCCCGCAGAGCTTCCACCTAAACAACTGGGAGTAAACAGAGACTAGAGAGAAAAAGAATGTCAGGTGACAAGAATCTCTTGTGGCCAGCCATTATTAAGAGTTTGCAGGGAGGGTGGTGTTGCAGGAATCTAGGCTTTAGTTATAGAATGCTAATTACTCTGGTTTCTGGAATTGTCACCACTTAGCCAAAATGGAAGAACTTTTCAAAAATGTCCTGTTCCTGGCTAATGTGAATAGTCCTAGTTCCGCTAAAGAAACAGAAACAATAGAAGACAAACTTTGCCTGAAGAAAACCCCAGCCTTTCGACTGTGAAAGTCATCTTCCGACTGCTCCACCCAGAGAAGCACACTTTGTGAGCCCTGAAGGGAAGGAGCCCCAGCTGCTGGAACCCATTCCAAACGAATTCATGGCGTAATGTGCAAACAAGATAAAATAAAATAAAGGGCCCGACGGTGGTGGCGCACGCCTTTAATCCCAGCACTCGGGAGGCAGAGGCAGGCGGATCTCTGTGAGTTCAAGGCCAGCCTGGACTACAGAGTGAGTTCCAGGACAAGTTCCAAAGCTGCACAGAGAAACTCTGTCTCCAAAAACAAAAACAAACGAACAAACAAAGAAACTGGATTGTAAAGGTTTTTCTTATGTTAAAGCATGGTGTCTCCTCCCTGAAAGACAATGTCAAGAAGCAAATTTAAAAAGAAAAAGAACAAGGAAACCCCCAGGCTGCAGGGTGTCCCTGTTGAAGCATTCAAAGAATAATGTATTCCAGATTTACCTATATGACATAAGAGCATTGAAGAAGAGCCTTCCTACATGTGCTCCCTAAGTTCCAGCAACATGAGCTGGGCACCATGGTGCACACGTGTAATCCCAGCACTTGGGAGGCTGGAGGAGAAGGATCAGGGGTTCAAAGTTATCCTCAGCTACAATGTGAATCTGAGGCCAACCCAGGGCATGTGAGACCCATATCAAAAGCTCAATCAATCAAACAAAACTAACAAACCAACATTCAAATTATGAAAATTTAAAATGTTTTGTAAGAGCATCAACCTAAGACCAGAGGGAGGATGATTGAGCTAAAGTCCATCTGGGTTTGGTGTCCTGTGCTTATAACCCCAGTATCCAGGAGACTGGAGCAAGATGACTGTGAATTGGAGGACAGTCTAGGATGGCCAGTGAATTTCAGGCTAACCTGGGCTACATAATCAAGACTTTCAAAAACGAACCAGAAAGAAAAGTATAGGTTTATCTAACTCAAGAGCATCGATGTAAAAATCACAATTTTTTTGAGACAGTACCTCAGCCTTTGTTCCCTGGGCTTGCTTGAAACATAGTTCAGCCCGCCTAGTTACATGGTAATGCTCTTGAGTATGGAGATTATAGGCATAAACCACAGTGCATGGCTCAAAGTCACAAAACATTAAGATAGACTATAGCACTGGACAGCAAAATAAATTTACTTTGATGATATATTTAGTGGCATTATTACTTGGTAATATCATAATCGGAAATGAACAAGTGCTTTAGCAATAAACATGCAAATAATACATTACTGTCTAGAGCTCTTGGACTGGTGTCTTAGTTACTATTCTTTCTTTCTTTCTTTTTTTGGTTTTTTGAGACAGGGTTCCTCTGTGGCTTTGGAGGCTGTCCTGGAACTAGCTCTTGTAGGCCAGGCTGGCCTCGAACTCACAGAGATCCGCCTGCCTCTGGCTCCCGAGTGCTGGGATTAAAGGCGTGCGCCACCAACGCCCAGCTAGTTACTATTCTTCTGCTGTGAGGAGACACTATGACCCAGGCAACTTACAGTAAAAAGCATTTAATTAGGGGCTTGTTAACAGTTTGAGAAGGTTAGCTCATGATCAGCATGGTGAGGAGCATAGCAGCAGGCAGGCATAGTGCTGAAGAAGTGGCCGAGAGCTCACATCTGACCCAAAAGCTGTAAGCAGAGAGAGACAGAGAGAGAGGTGGACCTTGCATGAGCTTTTGAAACCTCAAAGCCCACTCCCAGTGACACACCTCCTCCAACAAGGCCACTCCTCCTAATCCTTCCCAAAGAGTTCCATTAGTTGGGGGCCAACCACAGTTGGATTTCTCTTCTCTGATGATTAAAGAATTAAAAGGCAGAAAATAAATTACAGTCACAGCAAGTAAAACAAATTTTATTAAAAGCAAGAGTACCAGCCGGGCG